TAAGCCACATTAGTTTTGGTTATAAATATAAACGTGTCACTTAAGCTGGCTCCCTGCAGTCACTACATAAGACAACAGATATGAACTACAGACGAGAAGTTCGATAGGTCGATTAAATTACCATTATTAACTCTGACCTCACTGGCTAACTTAGTAATTATTTATTTTATCTTCTACATATATGAATATTTTTTTTATGAACCTGGCACACACAACTCAAGTAATGACTGAAAAATACCACAAAAGAGATCCGACTTTTTTTTAATAGGGAACACAAACCCAACGTTACTTAATGATTCTGTGTCTTAACTCACATTCTTCACTTTGGTTTCATCCTCACACTGGTTAATCTTAGTGTAATTTTAAGAGGAGGAACACCACAGAATAACACATCTATTACAGTACTTATGAGAATGAATCAGTGAGTGACGAATGGCTGTATTGGCCTGAGGTTACAGTGTCCATATATAACCATTTCAAAATTTAATTAACTCCAAAAAATAATAGGAAGAACACACTGGTTTTATTCCATTTTACGAAGACCTCATGAGTTTTTTTCCTTAGGTCATTCTGTAAGGTCAATGCTCTAGGTCATTCTATTATCAACTTGTACTGTACCTATACTTCAAGTAAAAAACATGAATAAAATTACATATAAAATACCAAAATAATACACATATATACTTAATAAAATACAAAACAGACCGCCCTTCTCACTCATGGATGTCACCTGTACACACGCACACAGGTGAATATAATTAAGACTTACATAATGTACACTCTAATTATACATTATATTTAAGTTTAACTTATTTATTCCCCTAGTACATGACCTCTTTAACTTGTTTATTCCCCTAGTACATGACCTCATTAACTTGTTTATTCCCCTAGTACATGACCTCTTTAACTTGTTTATTCCCCTAGTACATGACCTCTTTAACTTGTTTATTCCCCTAGTACATGACCTCTTTAACTTGTTTATTCCCCTAGTACATGACCTCATTAACTTGTTTATTCCCCTAGTACATGACCTCTTTAACTTGTTTATTCCCCTAGTACATGACCTCTTTAACTTGTTTATTCCCCTAGTACATGACCTTTAACTTGTTTATTCCCCTAGTACATGACCTCTTTAACTTGTTTATTCCCCTAGTACATGACCTCTTTAACTTGTTTATTCCCCTAGTACATGACCTCTTTAACTTGTTTATTCCCCTAGTACATGACCTCTTTAACTTGTTTATTCCCCTAGTACATGACCTCTTTAACTTATTTATTCCCCTAGTACATGACCTCTTTAACTTGTTTATTCCCCTAGTACATGACCTCTTTAACTTGTTTATTCCCTTAGTACATGACCTCTTTAACTTGTTTATTCCCCTAGTACATGACCTCTTTAACTTGTACACTAACACTAATGAAATAAACTAAAGTGTAGTTTGTTATGTAATGTTAGGTGATAAACTAGTCCATTTTATACACACATTTTCACAAAGGATAATTTCATAACATTAATATAGTCGTATATATAAAGAACATGATCTGTGGACTAAAGTAATATTGACCGACTAACTCTTGATTATTTTGTATCCTCTTCCTTCTTCTTCTATATCTTTCCTTCTTCTTATTAATAATGTACCACCAAACCTACAGTAAGTTATTCCTCTGTTATCTTAGGTGTAAATAGCTGACACCAAAAAAAATTGTAAGAAAAATAATAATAAAGAAAATATGGACACGGAGTTACCACACGGCCAATCACACACACCTGTTATGGTAATGGCCTCCAGTAAACCACACACCACGAACCAACAGGTAAGAAAGAGTAAGGCATTCATGATCAAATTTTAAGTCATTAATTACCTCCAGGTGTGATTGACATGTTCATAAATATATTCAGACATACTTCATTCCAGTTCCTTATATCTGAGAATATAACATGTCCATACATATATTTTTAAGACATACTTGATTCAATTCTTATTCATATTGTCTGACACGATGACATGTCTATATACATTCCCAGACATATTTAATTCCATTGTTCATTCTATCCAACACAGTAAAACACCATTGTACAATAAAACTCAATCTTTAATATCTAGTGAGGACATTGTTGCTCTCACTCTCTCGTCAACCTAACACAAACTTTATAAAAGCTCTTTACATATTTTTTTTTTACCCAATACAGAATATGTTCCAATATTTATGGTGAACTGAAGCTGAATAGATAATGTGGGGCGCTGTCTCTATATATGAATTAGTGAGTTAAGAAACTAGGTAACATCAGCATTGACAGTGTATACTCCTCGGTATGTAAATATATGTACTGTCCTGTGCTTGTGATTCACATATGACCTTGCAGTATACAGTATATGTGTGCTTGATTCTCACATGACCTACAATATATGGACTGCACTTGCAATTCTCACATGACTTAGCAACATGTGTTCTGTGTACAGTGGTCCCTCAGTTAATGAACACAATTCGTTCCACAGAGTCGTTCGTTAACCGAATCCATTGTTTCAATGGGATATTGGGTAATTGGTTCCAGCTCACCAAAAAATGCATACAAAGTGAAAAAAAAAATGCAGTAAGTACACTTACTTTGAGGTGTGTATGCAGAAGGTTCCTGGTTGATGATGATGATGATGGGAATGAGAAGTGGGGCTGGAGGAGAAGGGAGAAGAGAAGGAAGTGGGGATGGAGGAGAAATCACCTTTCAGGTGACCAATGCTTGATGCAGTAATTTCTTCAATAAAATTTTAAGATCACTAGGTGTAATTCAAGATTATTTTATGTAAATCAACACTGCACTGCATTGCTATATATTATCAATATGTTAACTAAATTTCAAAATGACCAATAATTTTAATGTAAAAATGCAAAAATATTCAAGACACCAACAAAATCGATGTTCACTCCACTGTAAACAAAGCCCAACTAACGCCTGGTGGGTGAGTCAAACGACTGATGGGTGCACAAAAAACTAGTTCCCTGTACTGCATATATTATTATCAATATGTTAACTAAATTTTAAAATGACTAATAATTTTAATATAAAAAATGCAAAATTATTAACGAGCACAACTTTCTTGCTATTTACTCCAATGGAAACGCATGTAAACATAGAACAGATTACTGAATTGGCAGACTAACCCATCAGCTGATCCTCACAACAAAACGTGTTTTTTGTAAGGATTTCGTTAATTGAAGTTTTGTTCGTTAACCGAATTGAAGATCCTTATGGGAGGTAATTCGTTAACCGAAATTTCGTTAATCGAACCGTTCGTTAACCGAGGGACCACTATACTTGCAAATGTCACACGACTTAGCAATACGTGTGTGACTGATTTTCACATGAACTTGCAATATATATTATGTTTGATTCTCACATGAACCTAAGAGTACATATCTACAGGGTGTCCATAAACTATCTGACCTATAAGGGAAATTAATAACCTGGAAAATATCACAGACAGAACACGATCCACATGTGGCAATCTACCGAGACATGGGGGATAAAATGAGATGTTTGACAATAAAATAAAGCCGTTGTGTTCTGTCTATAATGGTTTTAAGGTTAGTAACACTATATTAGCACCTAATGACTCCTCTACACCCCCTGTGATATTTTTAAAATATCATTATGGAAAATACTGCAATATTATTTTGTTCTTGTTTGTAAGTATCATTTTTTCATTATTGTTGTTTCCTCTTTGAATTGTTACAACATTTGCTTTTGTGTTACTTCAGATATGTAGTGAAATGAGTTAAGTAAAGCTTGGATGTAGCAACCAAGTGTTATATTTACCACACCTTCCATATGTGCAATAAGTGGAACGCATATGAGCATGAAACACTCGTTTATGATGGCTACCACCCCAACAGCTAACTTCCACCCTCAATATCTACCACCCCTACAGCTAACTTCCACCCTCAATATCTACCACCCCTACAGCTAACTTCCACCGATCATGGCTACCACCCCTACAGCTAGCTTCCACCGATCATGGCTACCACCCCTACAGCTAGCTTCCACCGATCATGGCTACCACCCCTGCTAGCTTCCACCGATCAACCCCTACAGCTTCCCCCTACCACCCCGCTAGCTTCCACCCACTCACAGACTCATATCTCACACCGATCATGGCTAGCTTCCACCGATCATGGCTACAGCTAGCTTCCACCTAGATCATGGATCTACCACCCCTACCCTACAGCTAGCTTCCACCGATCATGGCTACCACCCCTACAGCTAGCTTCCACCGATCATGGCTACCACCCCCACAGCTAGCTTCCACCTATCATGGCTACCACCCCCAGCTCACGATCATGGCTTCCACCCATGGCTACTACCCACAGCTAGCTTCCACCGATCAGCTTACAGCTACACCGATCATGGCTACCACCCTACAGCTAGCTCACCCATCATGGCTACCACCCCTACAGCTAGCTTCCACCATCATGGCCAACTTCCACCGACCTCACCTCTACAGCTAGCTTCCACCGATCATGGCTACCACTACAGCTGTCACCGATCATGGCTACCACCCCACAGCTAGCTTCCACCCATCATGGCTACCACACCCTACAGCTAGCTTCCACCGATCATGGCTACCACCCCTACAGCTAGCTTCCACCGATCATGGCTACCACCCCTACAGCTAGCTTCCACCGATCATGGCTACCACCCCTACAGCTAGCTTCCACCGATCATGGCTACCACCCCTACAGCCAACTTCCGCCGATGATGGCCACCATACAATCCTCAAATTCTAAAATGGATCAGATCTCTGGACACCCTACATGCTAACAATTCTCCAGTCACAATAATGAAGTAATAACTCACTGAGTGTCTTGAATAACAAAATGTACAAGTTTACATTGGTCAGAACATAACACACAGAGCATAAGGTACACACAGACAGAGTTCACCGCTGTAACTGTCTGTATTGCACCTATAGAGTTGGCTAAACATGACACAGTATAAAAAGATATTAACAAAGGAACTTTTATTATCACAAGCTATTGATATTCTTACCTGCAAGACAAATAACTTAAGTGTATATATATAAATAACTCAAGTGTATAAAAAATAACTTGAGTGTACTGTATATATTTCTCAATAAGTTAACAATCAATGAATAACTTAGAACTGTCTGTTACAGTAAGTGAAAACAAAAATAATATATGTGTATCAGAGGACCGATAGACAATACTAAATCATGACACACATTCAATAACTTGGGATAAAATATAAATCATTATATATTAAAGCAATAAATATTGATGACATAATCCTTTGCCTAATTTTTTATAAAAGAGGATGTTTATTTAATTACTTAGACTAAATAACCCTTTCATAGCCGAATTCTAAATTATTGACCAAGTTCCTCTGAGTATACTTTTAGGAAATTGTCTCACAATAAAGTATCTCAAACATGGAAGAATATATCAAGACAATAAATTAAATACAAGCTAATGTACTCAAAAGGGGAGGTAGGGGTGGGAGGAGTTTGGAGGAGAGGCCGGGTGGAGGAAGGGGTTGGGTGGGAGAGGTGGAGGGAGAGTCATAGTACTAGGCAGTTAACAGGTTACAGTGTTTACAGTTTCCCACAAGCTTGTACCTCTTTCACCTCAACTCGTAATGATCTCCATCTGTCTCACTCTCAATAAACACTATACTGTACAACCCCTGTGGTATATAGTGGTCATGGTGAACAGTAATTATATTTGGAGGCTTAAGGCATTTATTGCACACATAACATTAAAATTTACAGATGAATTACTATGCATCAAACAGACAAAAAATTGATTTGATTTAAGTTAAAATTATAAATAAGTTTACGCATAAACGTTTATATGTCCATAGGATATATATTATGTATACATATGTGTAAAGAAATGCTAAATACATCCATCTGCTATGAAATCCATCAGTAAGAAATGTGAACAATCGGTACAGTACTTTAGGAATATCCCATCAAAAAGCTAGTACTGTACAGCATGGGTAAACCTCTCACAAAGGAGCCTCATCAAATGTTAACTAGTTACCCTCAGCAATCACTCCACGGTAAAGTATCTTATCCGTTACAGTAGTGCAAGTCATAGTCTGCGTATATGACAGATAAACGGTAGTAAAGTAAATAATCCAGTGAATGATTACACGAGAAAGGGGGAAATACTAAACCAACAGTAGCAGCACTTATGAACGCAGAGCAACAAACTGGTTAAAGGCATCGAGAATATGGAGATCCAGGTCTTGGGTGAAGAGCAGTGTACTGAGTGTCTGACTGTAACGCTCCACTTGTGTGTTGTGCTGTGGATAATATTAATACATTAGTGTCAATACAGTACATCAATATATAACAAGGTGTCAATAGTAATATAAAGGTGTCAATACAGTACTTCAATATATACAAGGTGTCAATACAGTACATACATAAATACACAGAACAAATATAGATGAATACAGTATAAACTAATACCATTTCAAACATTTATCACCTTACTACCTAGCCAGCCATTGGTCCTTTCATAATCACGAACTATACCACCAAGGAATAATTTACCACCACGATCTTTATTATCTTTACTACAAACTCTATTATCAAGGACTTTATTATCTTTACTTAAACACAAACTACACAACCTGGGATCATAGTTTACTACCACAACGACCTTTACTACAAACTTTATAGAGGGAAGTTATCTCACCATCATGAAAATCTGGTGCAGTCTGCCAATAGTCCAACGGTACCAGTGTGTGTTGAAGTCGCGGCCGTCTGTGTCGCACCTCACCAGATGCTCAGAGAGGATCATGATAAAGCGCTGCGAGGGAATCAAAGTGAAGGTTAATTTGGGGGTAAATCAATGTAGCAGCAACTTAGTATGTGTTTTTTTTTAAATTCTTCATGTCTTTATATATTATATTATAAGGAGGCTAACTGATTAACAACCTCACAAACCACTAGTAGCTCACTAACTACCAGTAACTAACTCCCTAACTAACTAAACTCACTAATTTACTCTCTTTCCATATCATAGTCAATTATTTAATCTCATTCACTTACACTCAAGGTTCTCGAATATAAAAATACCCGACTATAAGGAAAACGATGATCTTAAAAGTATAAACGGGGGAAACTTACTTGAAATATGATAAGGAAGAGATTCTTCTGATCAGCCTGAGCCGCTTCAAGCTTCTCCTCCATCCTCTCTATCTCCTCTTCGCTGGGTCTTGGCCTCTGCTCTTCGTCCTCCGAGGACGAGTCGTCGGAGTCGTTGCCCGTCCGACGCTCCCGGGCATCAGTGACTTCCTTCTGCAGCCGTCCCACGTGTTTGTTCATCTTGCGAATGGTTGCGTGAATGATTTCCCAGATGTAGTTCCTAAGGAGGAAATTAAGTTGTTAATGGAGAGAAAATCTGTGGTGTAGTGTAGAGGAAGGTATATTTTCTCTATCTTCCTTCTCCCCATCTCTCTTTCCTTCTTTCTCTCTCTCTCTCTATCTTCCTTCTCCCTATCTCTCTTTCCTTCTCTAGATTTCTGAGATTACCCAGAAGCCCTCAAGGTCCACCAGCCTCAAATTATCTGGACCAATCACAATCATCTCACCAAATTCAAAAGATACACAACAATAGGCTGTTTCCTTACTCTAAAATTAATTCTGTAAAGCAAAATACAAATAAAAAAATTTAATTATATAAAATACCTATAATATCTAGTGGCTTTTGTAGGTCGATTCAGAGATCATTCAACTGTTAAACAAATGGCTACATGTATAATTTTAGAACAGAATATAAGACTGTGTCCCTCCATGTCCACTCAGGAATGAATAATTACTCTTGTCTGGTACACCTGATGATGGTCTTACAACTCCTCAGTGGTCTAGTATCCTGGCAAGACACTGAGGTAACACACTAAAAGCCGAGAGCCACAGTAGATTATCACTCACCAAGCAGTCCTTCACCACAACAGAGAACGGCTTATGTTAAAGTGAGAAACACACACATCCACGTCCTCACTTACTTGGTAAACTCGGGCATCATTTCTTTGCTGAATATCCAGTTGGCCACGCTGGCACAGGACACGATCTGGGTGCGGAGGAACTTGTCGACCAGCATCACCATCATCTGCTGGTGGTGGTCCCATACCTCGTGCATCTCCCGCAGCACCAGGATCTGTGCTTCCTCGTTATTACCCACTATTGACTCAAACACCTGTTAATGAAACCCAGAAAACATTGTATACTGAGTGACTGTTACTATACAATATAAATTACTTGTAAGAGCTAATACACTATTATCATACCACCTTAAAACCAGGAGAAACACACCCACATACACACCATCCACCCCTCCACCCACACACCAGGATACCCCAAACTCACCTTTAAAAACTTAGATATTCCAGCAAAAGCGTGGGAGAAACTTTTAGCACCTAGGTGAAGGATCGCCTGGACGAACACTTGTATCTGTACCGGGTTATAAGGCGGGTCTGTCTCGTCGTTCTCCCTCAGTGGGTTAGGCAGCTCACCCAGTGCCTGCAGGACTTCCACGGATGTTCCCTTGGACCGAACTACCGACTCGAGCCTGTGGGCAGTGTCGGCTCCTGGCAGATCACCTGTTGAGATGTCGATGATAATATAGTAATGTAGCGATGTTATTTATTTAGCTCCATTAATTATATCTTAACTGTAGCACTCTATGTATGTATGTATGTATGTATGTATGTATGTATATCCTGTATCTATCTATCTCCGCTATCAATGACTGTACATAGACCTCAACTACAGTACAGTACTCTATCATATTATTTATCAAGTATATTCACCATCAACCAATCAGTCATCAACTAATCAACAATCACTCGTATCATATAATCTTTCTTTACCAATCACACAATCATGGTACACTTACTGGCATCAGCATTAGCATACTTGTACACCGGCTCTGGCTTGGGTGGTACAAAACAATCGAACTGCTCGGGTACAACCTCTGCGATTCTCTGGCGGTACGATAACCTGGAAAAACGATGGCCAGTTAATTAAGTCTCCTGTGTGATGTGTTAAATGCTGGAGGGTAATGCATATCTGGAAGAGATTTTGAGGCTGTGTTGTGGAAGGGGGGTGGTGTTATGGAAGGGGGGTGGTGCTAAGGAAGAGGGGTGGTGTTATGGAAGGGGAGTGGTGTTATGGAAGAGGGGTGGTGTTATGGAAGAATGGAAGGGGGTGGTGCTAAGGAAGAGGGGTGGTGTTATGGAAGGGGGGTGGTGTTATGGAAGGGGGGTGGTGTTATGGAAGGGGGTTGGTGTTATGGAAGAGGGGTGGCATTGTGGAAGGGGAACACCACAGTAGACTACATTTGTGACAGTCGATCATGAACAACAGAACACAGAACTAATATGGATCACTTGACGATTAGCCCCAAGCTTAATTGATCTGAGGAGGACTTAACCACCCTAATCCAACCTGAGGGGGGGTTAGGTTAGCAATAAGGTGGTTAATCAGGTGAAATAAGATAAGGTGGAGGATAAGGTGGAGATTCTTCAGGTGATCCAACCAATCATTTCATCACCTGGCCACCTACCTCATAGCTCTCTGTAACACCTCAATGATAAACTTGGCTCTTGGGTGCATGGGATCTAGCTGTGACGACTCGAGCCAGTCATCCCACGACCACTTGAACTGGAAGTTACTCAGATGGTACCCAAACCAGTTGACAAACCTAGAAAGAAAATATAATGAAATGCTGATCTTTTGTAGGTCCTATGATAAGCAAACACAGGATCCTAGTTGACTTCAAAACTATCCTAAAATTCTCCAAATAAACAGTAATCACAGGTAAATATGGTGAATCAACCAACCAACCAACCTGTCAAAGCAGCAGACGTTCATGGTGTCAATGCGGTCAAAGAGCAGTTCTACAGCCTGAGCCAAGACCTGTGTGGAAGGGAACATATGTATGATAGAAAACAGAAATATAACCAACAGCATCACACACACTGATCATTCCCGCTCAAGGATATACGTTATCTTCAATATCAGTGTTTAGTGAGTCAAACTTTAACTTAGAGAGAGAACTGTAAAAGGTAATTGTTTAGTTTGAATTATTAATAACCTTTAAATCAATATTTCTTACATTATCTCCTTAAGTTTAGCAAGATGGTGACCCTCATAAAGGCTGGACCTAATTCATCTTGAGAATGTGTCCCATAGGCCTGAGGTGTGGTTACAACACACTATATACTAAGCCTTCAATAAACAAGGAGGTAATGTGGCTGGTACTGTACTTGACTGCCTTCATTTCCTCAACCATAAAATTGGGCAGACTAGGGAGGGAGGAAGGGAGGGAAGGAGCCCAAGGTACGAATCAGCGACCCTGAGGAGACTACTGTATTGTACTATTCCAGATGATACTAAATGTTACATAATACCTCCTTGAGATAAATGTATAGTATATATCAGGTGCCTCAAAGAGAGCTCAGGTTCTCAACTGGCTCAGCCATGTTAATATTGTTATTATTATCCACTCTGTATCTGTATTTTTCTGGCTAAATAAACTGTTACAATTCAATTCAAAATACTAGGCAAGCGCTTTAGTCACGTGGCCACCGCCCTCATTACATCTTACGAAGGACACTCACTTGGGGCATGGTGGCCGGCTGGAGTTTACACAGCTCAATCAGGAGAGAGCCGTAACAGATCTCAATGTACCGTGGACCGGGGAGGTGGAAGAGCTCAGCCAACACCACCTCCACGATCATGTACTCTAGAGGGATCTTGTGCTTGAGGGGGAAGTCCAGTAAGAAGGCAGCACTTCACATGAAAAGAAAAGAAAAAAATCAAATCATATGTAAAGTAATGTCAACTAAGATGAGGCTAATATAAAGACAACACAGGTCTTAGTAATGAACAATAATAAACTTTAATATATCCTCACATAGTTATTCATATCATCAACTTACAAATGCAGCAGTGAAGTGAATCTTACATTGCAGATTCACTTAAAAACCTTCAGGTCAGTTTTCTTATGCATACAAAACCGAGTCACTCATCATCTATAAGACCCCCATCACTCACCACTGCTTCCTCTCAAGATGGTACTCCTTGACAATGTTGTGAAGGTGTTCCTCGATCAAGTAACGCTCGATGGAGTGAGCACCAGGCAGTACAGGTCCCTCGGGGCAGTCAGTGTAGTCAAACAACCTAGAAAGGACGATCATATGAAACACTTTTTTACATACTGTACCGTACTTAGTTAAACCCTTTAATATCCCAGTATAGGTACTCCTGAGCATGTTGGTTTTGAATCTATGGTATATGATTCAATTGCGGGGGTAATTAGTGGCCATATTGACGCTTGGAATATTTTAATGATATTTTTCAATGCTAATTACTTGCCAACTAAGGGTTTCTGAAGTGCATTAGGCATTTTTGTGTTATTCTGAAAGTACAGAAGAACCTCGATAAATCGGACAAATTGGGGCAGACCCCGGTCCAAAAAAAGTTAATCTATTGGGGGGGGATAACACTGCTTATCTGGACTGTTTAAAGAAAATAAGTTGTTTTTATTATGTTATAACTACACTTCAACAACTAAAGCCTTTAAGTTCATAACAAGGTTTTTAAAACACAATTACATCAACATTAAAAAGTAGGAAACAGAACTCTCTGGGTTGAAAATCAGGACATGTCTGGTTGACGATGAAAGTTATTAACAGTAAAGTGTTATATGTAAGTAACAACAGAATTAGCCTCATGAATAAAGAGAAAACTGTAAACTGTACAGTACTATAAAGATAAAAATAAGAGGGGGCAGCAGGTGGGGACTGGGGGAGTAGTATGGGTGGGTGGGTCCCGCAAGGTCCCTATAACACATGTTTATCTCTCACCTGAACACGACCCAGGGGAATGGGTAGGTGTTGTCAGCGTGGTGTGGGGGCAGGGTGAGGGGCGGGATGTTGTGCTGCAAGGCCTCACACAGGATGGAGTCAAACGCCACGTACGGTCGGGCTATGTGTTTCTCCTGCCACATGTCTGACCGTAACTTGCAGATCTATGAGGGAGACAAATACTGGTTAATGTCTGCTGGGCTTCATTCACATCTAGAGGACGACAATTAGTGATGGTTAATGCCAGTCTTGGTTCTTTCACATGACTTTTTCCCTTGAGTACAATGACTTATCCCTTTGAGTACGATGACTTATTCCTTTGAGTTCAGCATCATTGCACACAAGGGAGAAGATCAGATTATCTTACTCTAGAGATTATTACTTCGTACTCAAGGTGGTTACATCATCGTACTCAAGGAATTAAGAGAGTACAGTACTATCACACCTGAGCCCAGAGACAATCCAGATATTCTTCCTGCGGGTGCGGACGGTCGGAGCGCCACACCCTAAGCCCTGGCACATGCTTCCGGCTGCGCTTTCTGACGTAAATCTCGATGTGCTTGAGCAAACGTTCCAAGTCCTGTTCCTTCTTCTCATACAGCTCGCGGCCGACCCAGGGTAGACAGCTGAGTACGGCGTAGACATACGTGTCGCTACGAACTGGAAAGGGGAATAAAAATAATAATAATATGTAGTTAACCCACACATACACCTTACATACACTAGGACACTTTGTTTACGGGGATGGATAAGTTATTCATATGGGTTAGGAGGATAATTTAGGTTGGGATAGGTTAGATTAAGTAAAGGTTTGGTTAGGTTGGGTTATGTTTGCTGAAGTTTAGTTAGGTTAGGTTAGGTTTGGTTGAGTTAGGTTACATTTGAAGAGGTTAAGTTAGGATATATTTGGTAAGGTCTGTTTAGGTTAAGTTAGCTTATGTTACATGTAAAGAGATGAGGTTGGATTAGGTCAGGATGATTTAGGTAAGGATACGTTAGCAAATTAAAATCCTCAGGTGAAACTAATGAGGGGTCCCAAAAGTCACCTTGTGGGGAGTTGTCATCTCGGGCGGTGTCCAGGAAGGTGTGGAGGAGCTGCAGGAGGGAGTTGGTGGAGATCACGTGGCAGTTGACCAGGTCGGAGAAGAACCTCAGGACGTAGCGGGCGGTCTTCCACATACACGCCTTCAGTGCCTCCTTCAGCTTCTTGGCCATCATGTCAACGAACTGAAAGGTGCCGAGATAGTGTAGACGTTATATTAGAATATGCTGGTAGGCGCCATATTATGATAGTTATATTACAGTATAAATTCAATACAAACAAACACACATCTCCCCACATATATACATACACACACACACACACACAATAATCACCTCTCCACCAAAATTGTAATTCTTGGCGTTGAGGAGGCCGACCAGGGTGGTGTAGATGGTGGTCTTCTCGGGCATCTTGACAGCACAGTCACTCAGGATCTTGAGTATCTTGCCCTTGTAGTTGTTGATGTCAGCCTCCAGCACACTGGCCAACCCCTCCAAGTTGCTCTCCAGGGACGAGGTGCTCTAAACACAACACAATAACGTTAATACTAGATGTTTATTGTTGTTTGTATAGCTACCTGCAATGTTCAGGTTGTGTATTGTATACCTGCACTGCCTATATATGAATCAAATGTAAACATCTATCTGTGTATACTGTCTGTATGTAATAATAATAATAATTAATAACAATTAACGGTTTATTGAAGCATAGCAGCCAGAAGGCTGAAAATATACAGTTACATAATTGGGGAATGGGTCTCTTGAATGACAAATAATATGTGTGTATGCATTATGTTTGTATGAATCTATTGTCTGTCTGTCTAAGGTTGGTTAGGTCAGAGTAGGGTAGGGTAGGTCAGAGTAGGGTAGGGTAGGTCAGAGTAGGGTAGGGTAGGTCAGAGTAGGGTAGGGTAGGTTAGCTTTAGGTTGTGTAATAAACTGTTAAAACATTGTGTGTGTGTGTGTGGGGGGGGGTCCTGACGCTCACAAGAACCAACTCATCACCAACAAACCTTTTCTCCGACGCGCAGAATAAGGGACTCCAGTCGATCCTCAATTTCCACGGCATCAGTACGACGCCTTTTTCTATCTCGACTGGAGTCTGTAAACATTGAGAAAATATTTATCATCTGGTGTATGCTTTATTGGCTAAATGTACAGGGTGTGTCATAAGTGGTGCTCCATACTGTACAGGGTGTGTTGCAAGTAGTGCTCCATACTGTACAGGGTCTGTCATAAGTCACATTACATACAGTACAGAATGTGCCCGATTGTGCACAGCCTATGACACACCCTGTATAGCAGAACATATCCTATACAATGGCATGAATGAAGAGAGATGCAGATGCATTTAGGTTAGGTTGAAATTATGTTTTTCTGATGGTTTTGGCAGTTGATATTTTGCCGTGAATGGCTAAGTTCCTACTAACTCTTATTTTACTGAGTGAGCTCTGAGAGGCTATTCGTACATTACCGGTAAACAACGCAAGAACTATATTTGACCGTGACTCTGGCGGTAATTGGCATGTACAGTATTTCGCCGTGAGTTAATAGTTGTGTAGCTATAAACATACCTAACCATATTTCTGTTGTGCATGGAAACTTATCCTCATAAAAGAGGCAACATTTACTAGAACCTAATAGAACCTGACATAACCTACCAAAAAAACCCATCTTCCTAATACTTAGCCAATCAGAGCGCACTCACAGTAAATTAGCGTCAGCAGAAACTTAACCATTCACGGCAAAATATCCACCACGGATGATTTTTTATGTATTTTGAATGATTCTGAACTACTTCCACAACAAGTGGGGGCAGCAGTGACAAAAGCCAAATGCGATCGGAAAATGCTGTACAAATCTCACGTACGTGCCATCCTGGATTACTGTCTACAGGCATGGAAACCTTACCTCCAGTAAGACCTAACATCCCTAGAAAAGGTTCAACACACAGATAATAAAATGATTCCGAAACTAAATGTAGGCAGTAGGCAGCTATCAAACAGGGAGGTACTACTGCCTGGGAAGATATTGGAAGCATAATGTGTTGTCTAATGGTAGACTCTGCTGCCATATGGCATCACAAAAATTGTGACCAAGTCCCAGGTTGCTGATCTTTCTTTCTGCCTCATTTACACACAATTGCAGGGTCTCAATTGTTTCTCTTACTTTGATAACACAACATACATATATTGTTTCTCTTTTTTATGTTTTTTTCATTTTGTATTTGTTTGTGGTTCTTTATTATTATTATTATTATTATTTTATTTTAAATTTTGTATTATAATTTTATTTACTATGAATTATTATTATTATTACTATTATTATTATTACATTTTTGCCCCCAGGCACCAATATGGGTCAGTGACCTGTGCCCGGGTGGGCTAATCCCCGTAAAAAAAAAAGTCATCTCGATTATCCAAGTAGACCGAGGGCCTAAGACTAACGAATGCAGGAAAAAAAGTCACCGATAAAAAGGAACGGAAAAAACCTAGCCTAACCTCAGCTAACCTAACCTAACTTAACCTAACCTACATGCAATGCCATCATATATATATATTGTGTTGTCAATGTGTACAAGTCATGTGACTTTATTTCCGTCCACCAGACTAACAACCACTTAGACAAGACAACAGCCCTAGACAGCACTATCATGAACATTGGAGGGATCCTATACTGGCTTATCTATCTATCTATCTATCTATCTATCTGTCTATCTATCTATATATCTATCTGTCTACTTATCTATATATGTATCTATCTATCTACCTAGCTGCCAGACGTAATAATTTATGACAAGTCACCAGCTACACCACACACAAATCTCTTCCTTCACATATATTACATCAATAACCAATCCTCCAATGATAAAGTATTCAACAAAAACAAATTAAAATCCAAGCGTTAACACTGACACATATATAATACAATAAAAAACTAAATTGACATTAAAAAAAGTTCACAGTGACACACATCCATCAGGTACAGTTACACCTCCCTTTCTCTTCCCTTTCCCTCACTTCTCTCACCATAATCTGACATCTCATCAAACTTCCGGCGACTCATGGTGTCTTCTTTTTAATTCCGCGGTATGAAGAGTAATAAATGAGTGTGATGGGTGATGGTGACGCCGCCTTGACTCTCCTATGGACTGCTGGCTGGGTGCTGCTGCAAAATGGCGAGTGTTGTCACTGCTACCACGAACATTATAGTACACGAGCCTATTGAATTTGTTTTTATCCTCTTCACCACTGATCGGCTCGTTAGCTGCTTGGGCGATCGGTCACGTCTCTGTTACGCACTTTATCTATATATATCTCCTCTATTGATTCCTTTCATCCACTTAAATACTTCTATCATATCTCCCCGCAATATATATATATATATATATATATATATATATATATATATATATATATATATATATATATATATATATATATATATATATAGAGAGAGAGAGAGAGAGAGAGAGAGAGAGAGAGAGAGAGAGTTATGTTAGGTTAGGTTATGTTAGGTCGTGTTTAGTTAATTTTTTCTTATGCAAACAAAAATATTAGTTTAGAAAGCGAGTTCGTAGTGCATCTTTAACATTGTTCTAGCATCTTTCCCAACAGCAGGCAGTCTGTCGATGTTTTGCTCTAACCGGCCTAAAATATTTCTTAAATATCACCAACATAATTTTTATTTTTTTTATAATATACAGTAATTTCCCAAATATATTGAAATTAGGTAGCAATAAAGGTCAAACTTATACTCATTAAACGTTATCGTTAATTATTACGAACCTAATACTTTTTGTTGAATTCCACTATTATAGGCAGCTTCTGTTTACACATAACCATTATCACTCATGTATCTATATAATCTAACTTAATCTAACCTAGTGGGTGGCCATTAGGTAAATAAGGTAAATACGTCTATACATGAAGTTCCCAGGGGTATTAAAAGTTAGGCATAGCATAGTGTTCAATTCTAAATTCGGATATATCGAGGAGACATTATTTTTGTCTTCTCTTTAAAAGAACAAATACTCTAATGGAAATAAATGTGTAATAAAAATCTAAAATTATAAAAAACTCGGATATAAACAATATTTATTTAATCCAATCCGTTTATATATTTTGATAATAGTTTTATATAATTATAAATGGAAATACGAGATAAAAGAAAATTTAAATATCATGATTTATTTCTTACCACAGTATCGATAATATTTTTATTTAAAATTAAAAAATCATTAGTTATTTTTATAATACATAATTTAATACTTTAAAGTTATTTGAGTGAAGAATAAATTATTAAAAATGATGTAGATAATATGTATGTTATTCTCCCCGAGTGCAGCGGCCAGTCAACACACCGCCGCAGTCATGAGTGTCTACACATTTTTAGAAATAGACGTCAATTCCCAGGTAAATTGATTCATTAACCTGTATGAGGGGAGAGCAGGTGTAGGCAGGCATTGACCTATGAGGGTAATAATGGCGGGAGACCGGTGGGGAGATGAGGGAGGAGGAGGTGATGGTCTCTCTCCCTCACAGATGTTGGATGATTAGACAGATGGATGGATAGATAGATGGATAGACAGACTGATAGATAGTCAGAGAGAGAGAAATAGGTAGTCTTCAAAGCCCTGCCCACTAAGCCTATTTCCTTGAGTCTCACCTAAACATTTATGATTTAGGTTAGGTTGAACTTTTTAAGGTAACTGGGAAATACTTTTAAGGTAGGATTTTTCCCATTTCCAAAGTAGCTCAGGACTGATACACTTTATAGTCGAGTTAAGGTCAATTTTCTTTCTCCATTAACAGGTGGAAGAGCTCCGAGCCTACCTGAAGGAGGTGGGGGCGGAGATCGCGGTGGAACGGAGTCCTAAGGGTCTTGAGGATGACTTGCACAAAATCATCGGGGTTTGTGACACAGCCTTTTCCTCCGAGGCGACGGAACCAGAGGTGGAAGCTCTCCTGAATTCCATCGTCTCAGTTCTGATTGTGGTGAGTTGTGTTTTGGTGTCCTGATGATTAGCAGCCCCAGTTTATTTCACCTGAAGATAAGATTTTCATTACAATATTCATGCATTCACCTAACATAACCCAACCTTTTCACCAATGTCATCATACCACCATGTGTAAGTGTGGATAATGAAGATGATGATGTATATTTGAGTTATTCACCACTAACTCATTATTCTCCTCACCAGGTACCTGTAGGAGACAAAACAGAGAGTCTCATTCTAGCATTCTGTGAAAAGCTGGCCAAGGCTCCATCAAACAGACTCGGCCATGTTTGTCTCAGAGTGTAAGTTGGACTCTTGCCTCTACTGTACATAATATTAGTCCAGTTTTCAATGTAATTAACAATCTTTATCTTTGGGTAGTGAAAATAGATGAGTAAAATCATAGAAAGAACAACTCATAGTGAGACCGGGACTTGGGAGTGTAAATAACAGTAATGTATAGAAGGTCTTTGGGATGACAGAAGGTAGAGGTTGTAAATTATGGAATGGTGGAGAGAGATTCACTGAGATGGATGTGTGAGAAGGAAGTAGGAGAGGATAGTAAAAGGAGGAATAAAGAAACAGTTAAACAGATGCATTAGATAGAAACTGTGTACATCTTGGGAGAAAGAAAGGAAGAATAGATTAAGAAGATAACAGGGGAAGGATGAAGGGAATTAAGAGAACAGAGGAGATTTTTGTTGATAGTTTAACCTTGTATCTTTTCTGCTGTGTTAACTGTCTTGGAAGGCTAAGGAGGAAGGAGATGGTGTACATAAGATGGCTGTGTTGGATGACAGAGAAAACGGATAGATATTTGGGTCCTTATTGTGGAAAATGACCTATAGTGAGTCGCATCTATTACAGCAGGTAGACAGATTGAAGGGTCAGTATGTGTGTTGGTCTTAATTCAGTGGGGAAAAAAGCCTACAAGAGTGAGAAATGTGAAGCTAAACTAATACACTGCTCATCGTTAATTCTACTTCCCCGCAGACTGAATCTCTTGTTCCACGCTCTGCCGGAGAACCTGGGAGTGCGCTACCATGTGTATTACACCATGGTGCAGGTGTCTGGTCAGATTGGACAGATACAGGCGGTGTACCAGTGTGCAGAAAGGATGCGCTCCACACTCAACACCGCCCAGCCACCACCCTCCACAGAGCAGATGCAGCAGCTACTTCGCCTCTTACATCAGACACTTCTTGCCAACAAAATCAGGTGATGACTTGTGATGTATTATTATGTTCTCTCACTGTGTGGGTGAGTCATAAATATATCCTGTAGGAAAAAGAAGTGAACAGAGGCTTAATAAAGTATATTTATAATTTCAGTGAGGATGCAAGCAAAGTAATGATCGAGTTACTGGGAACTTACACAACAGAAAATGCCTCTCAGGCGAGAGAAGACGCTCACCGCTGCATAATTGCCTCCCTGGCTGACCCCACCACATACATCATGGACCATCTCCTTACACTCAAGGTATGTACTGTACTGTGTGCTCTGTGAAGACACCCATAGTGTTCTTCATGCTATGGTGACTTATTAACAGTTTAATTAGTGTATAACTGTAAACGCTGGTTCTTTTGTCCCTGTCTCGCTCCTTTCAATTTTAAGTCTTATATATTAAAGTGAACGCTGACGAAAGAGTTATTTATGTATGTATTTTTTTTTTTTTACCCCCAGCCAGTAAAATTCTTGGAGGGTGAACTTATCCACGACCTACTGACCATATTTGTGTCGGAGAAGCTGCCGGGTTACATCCACTTCTACAACAACCACAAGGAGTTTATCTCTTCCCTCGGTAAGTTGAGACCATCTGCTGCAGTGTTTCTTGTTTACCATCACCTGAAGATTTGCCTTCAGCTTTTTTCACCTGATGATTAAACACCCTAATGCTGCCTGGGTTAAATTAACATGACAGTAGTTAGTCTTTTTACATAACCAAAGTATTTCATGATAAAAAATGTATATATTGAAATAGCTACTAACCCCATCTTCTTGTGTTTAATTAACAAGTTATGAATTCTACCATTGGCTCATGTATATGTGTGTTGTTGCCCCACAAGGTCTGGACCACGAGGCCAACGTGCGCAAGATGAGGTTGTTGACCTTCATGCAGATGGCTGAGAGTCAGTCTGAGATGTCCTTTGAGGTGATCATGCAAGAGCTACAACTTGGTGCTGAGGAGGTGGAAGGATTCATTATTGAAGGTACCAGTGTTGAGGTTAACCACTTCACTACTTATTATTTTACTTGGTTAACACCACAAGATTTTATCCAGCTCAGAGGGGCATACACAAGGTGTTATAAACAGCACTGTAGGTCACTCAACTTGTATGTATATAAAGAAGACTATCAAGTACAGTAAAATGTCAAAATGTCAGTATTATTATAATGCTGTAAAGAACATTAGCATATGGTTGATTTTTATTATATTTGCAGCCTTGAAGACGAAGCTCGTCAGTGCCAGAATGGACCAGAGCCAACACAAGGTGTTCGTGTCGTCTCGCGTACACCGGACATTTGGCCGCAACCAGTGGCAGGCTCTACACGAAACACTCACCGGCTGGCGGACCAACCTTACTCTTGTGAAAGACTCCATGCAGGCAATTGTCACCGCCCCCATAGGAGGAAGCAAGTAACATTCGTTTACTTTTATTACGACGCGTGCCACGCTCGTGACTCGACTGTTGTATTGTACTACTAATACCAAAATTCACATTAAAAAAAATCGGAAATTGCTGCTTTTGTACAATGGATCTTTTATGGGTGTATAGAATGTCTCAGTGAAGAATATTCACATGAACAGTACGTTACTTGTGTTGTGTGTGGACAGTGTAGTTGTCACTTTACTGAAATAAAGTGAAAGTAAAGCTGGGAATTTGTATCACTAAGTTAAATCACACTGAGGAGAACATTATAAACAGTTACTAACCATAGTAAGTTACTTTAGGTGAATACAATGTCCCTATTCTTTAAATAGAGAGTAAACATCAACACACAAGGAAACCAACAAGTATTAATTAAATCTTTATGGTCAAGAACATAACTGATGACAAATAACTGTAAGAGAGAGTAAAGGAAATTGTATAAAGCACAGCATCTTTTTTTTTTTTTGTATATAAATACTAACCAAAATAACGTATGTCACACCACTTCTGGAGATGGCCGTTTACCTTTTGATAACCTGCACATCCAAGTATAGCTCATGAATGTCACTCACTGATTTAAAAGCAACTTTGGAGTAATGTTTCTCATGTGCCATCTACAGTCGGTGTACATACAGGTGATGGAAAGTTGCCATAGATGACAACAGTGTATTGAGTATTAAGGGGGAGGTAAAAAGTTGCCATAAAATGATGACGATAATGTAATCAGTAATGAGAGAAAATTTCTTTTGTGTAGTGTCCCAGCTTACCACCAACACCTAGTAGTTTCTATAGTTCTTAAAACAGACTCACTTAATCCCAGACATGAGTGATGGAGAGGGAATTATATAGATGGATAATAATTCATGCCAGTTTGGATTATCAGTCTGTAGTCTTTCATTGGGTTAGTAGTTAAGATGTTTTTTTTTTTGCACTTAAGTGTACCATTGTGGGACGAGTGTTGGACATGCACAAGAGGTAGGGTCTCCCTCACACTGGGTTAAGACTTGTTGTGATCTATATACACAACAAGTTATACCCTTCATGCTGTGCCTGTACTAGTAAATGAGAAAAATATTTCGACTTAGTAATGAAGAACTATGGCCGACTGCCCCACACACACCACTGCTGGCTGTCACATAGATTATCGTTATCTCTAAAAATTTTAACAAGCTGCACTTGGTTAATTTATTTTTTAAATTGTGAAGTACATGACATACTCTCAGGTTTATAGGAGGTAGCACACACACACATTATTACTCCATTTTAAGTAATATTTGGATTTTATTAAGATATATTTCCAGCCAACTAACCAGCTGGGAACATAACCTCATTTATCCACAAGATACAGAACTGTACATTGTTATATTCACAGATTTCATTATGTGTTCGTCTTTTAGGAACGTAATCTTGCACATAGTAGGGCGTCGGTGGTATTTTATGAACACTTTTGCATCAGTAATGTTTATGTATACGGTATGGGGTACGCATCCAGTAGTGAGGTGGATCTTTTGAAGTAATACTTAGTTACTTTGTTTTAATTGGTCTTGAAGGTATTAAAGGATGTCTCGGGTAAATGTATACACACCGCCTTACAGAATTTCATGGAGAACGTGTGTACAGTACACATTTTAATGAGACGCCCTTACTGTAGTTTTGCTCCCTTCTCGTGGACCAGGGACTAAAACTCCTACATTTGTTTGAGGTCATCTAGCCACAGAAGAGTAAATTAATCAAAGTTAAGACATAGGGGCCATCATTCTAAATTTCAGGAACAAGGAACTTAGATGTTAAACACTTGTGAGCTTTAGACATTGATGTGGAGTTAAGTACAGAAGTAAAAGACGGCAGGTACAGTGTTCATTACCTATACTGCTTAGACTATTTTTTTTTCATGACAAAAGGGAAAATATTATATTACATACGTTATTGTTTTTTATTACAAATTTTATAAATATGTGCTTTAAACATTGTAAGCAACAGTCCATAATATAACCTATACATTACAAACATTGCATTGTCCATAATAATTAATGTTAAGGCACAGAATTCTCTCTCACTTGATGTACCTGAATAATCCAGACAAGTTCAAATAATTTTTCATATATTGTGTAAACCATTATGACGTACTTATTTATAATGGATTAATGCTTCTTTTAATGTAACTCTCATAAACTCCCAGATGAGTGTTGTCTGGCAGTTCATACCTGTACAGTACTTCAATCTGGGTCTAGAATTCATACATTGAAGGATGTCATAAAAGAGATACATTATTTGTAATTTAACATTGATAAAGTAACTGTTGCCTTTACATCTTCCCTCAGGCAAAAAGGAGTAGCTGCTAAAGCAGCGCAGTAACACGACCAAGTGATCAGTCTTTTACACAAGAGGATGATGACCCAACACCCTGGGATGTCTGGTGTGTTTACTACTACAAGGAGGCCAAGTCAACCAAAACCATCTACACTTACTAGACAAGACATCACCAGCGTCCATCCATCTCCGACACAAGACCTGGGACTGCATCGGTTATTAAATTGTTTAGGGTTGATCCCAACACAGTCAGGCTACTAAAAATATAGAAAGTTTCATATTAATACAAACTAATTTAATTTTTCCTTAGAGCAAATATTGATGACTTAGACAAGATAACAGCATTCAAGTCATGGCACAACAACTTACATATAGATGCTGGAAGAAACAACCAATATGAACTAAATGACTAAAATACTTTTAATCTACAGCATCAGGGTCCTTGATGAGCTTCCACTGTGTAGCACAAAGCTTGAGGGTGTTGTGTGCATATTCACGAGCCTTAGGAAGGACAAATTCTGGATTGTCGATCTTGGAAATAGCTTCAAGGGCCGTCTGTGAGAAGAATTATATCAGAGTTAATAATAATTATAATTGTTTTACCTTAAAGTATTGTTGGCTTCTTGCATCCCTAATTACCTGCCAAAATATTCATCTCTCATTTTGTTTAAAATCTCTCAGACCAACACCACTCACACACCCCCAACACACATTTTTGCTGATTTCGGCCAAAATTTGGATCTTCCTGAAATCACAGTACAGGTACTCCTGATAAAGCGGATTCCAAATATATGGTCCACGATTCGATTGCGTGGTAATTAGTGGCCTGAATATCACTAAATTGTTAGGTTTACCACTTTGGCCATAATCTTGGTGTCTATGATGTTGTTCAGAATCTCTATAGAGCTGTATTTATTTACACGAACACCATTGTACAGTATACGTAAATATATATATATATATATATATATATATTGTAAATAAACGAAATAATGTATACTATTACTGCACTATACAGTATACTGTACTCATCAGCAGGCCGGCCAGATGGTGATATATGATGATACTCTACAAGACGGCCTGCATTTGTCCTGTACCATCTACTGTAGCAGGTGTTACTGTCACTTTCCTCTCCCTCCATGAAGGAGAGATTGTACACACACAAGCATACAGTAGGCACACACTGTCCACTATACTGAATACACAGTAAAATATAAATAACTGTTTGAAATCACTTTTTATAGCAATGTATTCTTGGCTGATTATGTTCTGGTACAGAACTGATCAACACAAATTGGAAGCAAACACAGCAATGAGTGAGGGGTCAACCTTGTACAATGGCAACAGAATATGAACTAAGTGCATGAGCCTATGGCATAAGTTATCCAAGCAGCTAGAGTTTTCCCAGAAGGCTAAAAATCCACTCTGGCTAATGGAAAGTTCCGGAAGCCGGGGAGATTACTGTACAATATAGTTAGTCCTAAACGTGCTTACCAAATTAGCACCCTTGCTCACCTTGCAGTGCGTGTCTATTATTCTCTCTGCCGTCTGCTTGTCGTGACTGACCAACAGGAAGACTATAACAGTGCCACGGTATTGGATGTCCTTGTTGGCATGGGACAGCAGGAACTCTAAGATTTCTTCCCAATCTTTAGCCTAAAATGGTAAGTAATTAATAAATTAAGAGTAAAATCAATCTTGAATAGATAAGGTTTGAGATGACAAATCTAATTAGCAATACTGTAATTTGATTATTAAAATAATGTTTTCTGATTAATTGAAAGTTTCACAATGAAATCCTCTCTGCAAGTGGAGGAGACAGACAATGTTTATTAAGTGACTTGTAGTGAGCAACTTGGTTACCTGAAAACTACATAAGGTGTGTTCTACCTCTCTCCTTCACTTCCAACCTCACACACAATATCATTTATCTTCATAATAAACTTGTAACTCAACAACTGTCTACCAGAGGACGAAGAGACCTCTTGGTGAAGTATAACTACAGTACAGTATATTAAAGGTTGAAGGAAGCCTCTAGTTTGGAGCTTCATTTCTAAAATTCAACTTCATGAAGCTCTTAAGCAGACACTGAATCATTATATCGACCTTGTTTTATTTACATGAGGCAAAACAGATTTTTATTTCTCATGATTGCTAGACCTATTTCCTCACTGCTGATGAGGTGCATGAAGAGTAAATTTCTGGTGAGTAAAAGTCTTACCTCAAACACCTTCACTAGACACTTGGGTGACTCAGACATGACCATGCAAAGGGCACCAGCAGCTGCCTTGATAATCTCCTCATCCTCATCAGATGCACACAGGAACAAATACTTGAACTTGTCATTTTTACCTTCCAGTAACTTTATTATGTCTGGAGATGCACACATGTTGGCCATACACTGCAAGAAAAAGAAAAAAACACATTAAATATGGTGGTTCAGCTGAGTTCATCTGCTGCTTATGTCAGAACACAGATGAACACATTATTATTAACAAACACTAATTTTCTGTTGATTTCTCCTTCCCTAACTTCCAATACCATTCTACTGCAAAGACAACAGGTGGCTTTGTTTATGGATAAGAAAGGCTTTAATCGGGAGTCTTTGATAACCTTAATGTAGGGTAAGACACAAGTACCTGGGGTTTTGTTGAACTCACCTGAATGGCAGCTCTTCTGATCATCTCATGGTGCTCAAACATGTAGTTCTCAATCAGTGGCAGTCCTCTCTCCTTTATGATACGTTTTCTGGTTGATTCAGAGATTCCTGCGATGTTGGTGAGACCCATAAGAGATTCAAAGTTCTCCAGCGCTTGACACTCTGGATCCAATAGTTTTAACAAAGGCCGAACTACTTCATAAGCCTGAAAAAAAAAAGTTGTGGGGTTAACCATAAGCAATATTGAGCCCTGAACAGGCTGCTAAGGATTACTTACTCCTCTCCCCCTATAAGTGCAATATTGGAATGCAAGGAATGTGAAACTTCCACTGATGATGGCCACCGTCACTACACCTAACTTCCACTGATGATGGCCACCGTCACTACACCTAACTTCCACTGATGATGGCCGCCGTCCCTACACCTAACTTCCACTGATGATGGCCACCGTCCCTACACCTAACATCCACTGATGATGGCCACTGTTTAATCTTTAATCTATGAAGAGCACTGAGTCAATGGTCTCTACCAACTGCCATAATAAATCACTACCTATACTGATATTCTGAGTGATTACATGTATAAAGTAAATATTCCTTCTGGATGTTATTTCTCATTGTAAAAAACTGACTGTCTACTTAATGGAGGGACCCCTACTTATATCTACTCTTCGTGGGATCTCATGAACATTGGACCCCAGCTTATTTCACCTGATGATTAAGCACCCTAATGCTCTAATGGTAAATGGGGGAGGTGAGGTAAGGTTAGCATTCGGTGGCTTAATCATCGGGTGAAATAAGCTGGGGTTTCTAATCTTGATAAGGTTCTTTTCTTGTACAGTACAGTAGTTACATTAAATCTAAAACTGTCATGTGGTGCACTACTAACAACCAAATATCTTAACACCATTCACAATCTTATTACTACAAAACACCCAAGGTAATATATGAGAAGAATAAAGTCTTTACCAGTTTGATATCACCAAAAAAACTAGGTTAGGATCGGTATGGTTAGGTTAGGTTATGAAAGGCTAGGAGGCCAATTTTTCCACCAAACCTTTGAATCAAGACTATATGGTACTCACTCTCTGTCCAGGGAAGGCGACCTCTGGGTTAATGGTGATGGCAATACGTGCTAAGGCCTGAGCTGCCACTGTCTTGCCCTTCTTGGTGCCTTCTGTCGCCAGGTCAAGAAGAGCCTTTGTACCTCCCTGCTGCACCACCAGGCCTCTGTTGTCCTGCATCTGACATATGGCATTAAACAACCTGGAAATTGATAAGAGGCAAATGGATGTCTGTTACATGTTCTGTCATTTAATGCCACCATAGACACAACAATGGAGATAAAATATTCACCGATAATGGCCACTGTTCCTATAGCTAACTTCCCCTAATAATGGCCACCGTCCCTATAGCTAACTTCCCCTAATAATGGCCATCGTCCCTACAGCTAACTTTCCCTAATAATGGCCACCGTCCCTATAGCTAACTTTCCCTAATAATGGCCACTGTCCCGACAGCTAACTTTCCCTAATAATGGCCACTGTCCCTATAGCTAACTTCCACTGAAAATAGTCACCATTTAAAGGGTTAAAATTTGCTTGGTTCTCCTGTTAAAACATATCCATCACCAACAACATTTTTCTTCCTGTCCTTCACCGAACATCATCATTTCTGATATTCTTTTCCCGTCTAATCTAAACTAATCCTACACTACACTACACTACACTACACTATACACTACCCCACACTACACTACACTACCCTCCCCTGACCTAACCTAACCTACCCTACACTACCCTAACCTAACCAACCCTAAATCTAACATGATTAATAAACACAGAACAAAACTATACCTTGCAATAAGTTCCCTGGAGTTCTGACTGTCGGTCTTGCTGAGTGCCGTTAGGGCTGTTGCCGCTCCTTCTTCGGCCAATATCGTCACTCGCTTGTCAACGAAGTCCTGGTCATCGAGGTCATGGGTCTCGGGAACGTGCTGCTTGGCAAACTTGGCCAACTCCACCATCTCTGGGATAACTTCTTGCGTATCGTATGCGTTGCAAAGGTTGACGAACGTTGCTACCACGCCATACAGACAGTTCATATCACCAGACTGGAAAGAGTACGGAGGTGTTATTTGGTTTCAGCTATTCTATTTGTTTATGTCTTTTCAAACTTTGTCAGTTTTGCTCACTATTCATCTTTCTCTCTCTCTCTCCTTGTAACTCTGTCCTACTCCCATTCTCTCTCTTTTCTTTCTACCTCTCTTCCACTCTTTCTAGCTCTCTCAAACTCTCTCCCACCCTTTCTTTCTCTCTCAAACTCTCTCCCACCCTCTCTCAAACTCTCTCTCCCTCTACACTATCAGCAAGATTCACCTTAGCCAGTTCAATCATGGAGCGGAGAGCAGGCCTGTCACTGATGAGCTTCTCCTTGACATCAGCATCGAGGGTGAGGTAAGAGAGGCCCTCACACGCCCACCGCCGCATGTCCTTGTCTTTAGTTGGATTAACGAGGAACCTGAGTAAACAAAAGAACTTCATTAATTAAAATCAACATTCCTCCAGTCATCCATTTACCTGTGCTATTATTTAAAGAATCAAGGTTCTCAAAGGTTCTTATGATGAGTAATTCTTGTACCTGAAGATGTAAGAATGAAGGACCTGAGAAAAAGTACTTGAGTGATATATTTGTTTACTATTGTTTAAATGATCTGAGTCAAGGTCCTCAAAGGTACTTATGATAAATGTTCCTTTTCCCTGAAGACGCAAGAATAAACCTAATTGTCTTAAGCTAAACACATAAGGTGACATACAAAAATAATAAAAGCCAGATATGGTACTAACCTTCTACAAGCCTCTGCCAACTTAAGTGAGGCACCTTCAGAAAAGGGCTTCATGGAGGCATCAGTGCCACCCATTGAGCCTAGTTTACACAGGCCAACCAACGCCCTCACTTTGATGGCATCGTTCTTACTCTGGTACAGCTTCTTCAGGATGTCTGTGCCTTGTGTTATGATGGATCTACACTTGTCTTTTTTAGTTGCTGCGGCAATTAGCGCTTCACAGGCAGCCTGAGGTGTGATGGGTAATCTTAGATTAGGAGGCTAAATTTTTTATCAATTAAATAAAGTACAAGGTATTTGAAGCATGTAATTAATGATAAGACTGTTATCTGTACAGTATATAAATTTGAAGTAACTTAAAATACATTTCCTAAATATCCAAAGTACAGTACAGTTATGCAAATTTGTATAAATCACCACATTCTCTAAACTCTTTCAAGCCATTTCCTACACTAAGTCAGGGTGGCTGAAATAAAGAGCAAATAAACACACACACACATCCTTGCTCTCCTCTCCTTCACTGTCAGTTATACAAGTCCCCTTATACAGTCTTCCTCTCCCACAACACTGCCCTAAATATGTCTTGTTAAGCCATGTTGTTGCTGTACAGTTTGTGGACACGACTAAATATCTGACACAATAATAATCACCAAAATGGTTCTGAGTTACACTGAGACTCTACCTTAACTACATAAATTCAATTACCACTAAGGGATAAAATTACACTGAAACTCTACCTTAACTAAATATATTAACTTACCACTACTGTAGTTAAGGGATAAAATTTTACTAAGACTCTAACCTCTACACTACAGGGAAGCCAATTCTTGAATTGGCTAACGTTAGAAAGAATTAAGTTAAAAAATAATGTGAACCTAAAACCCTATACATTTTTTTAGTGTTTACATACCTTCTGCTGTAACAAATCGTCAGAGTTTGCCATCACCAGCAACATCTCCAGGATTCCCTCCCTGGCAATCAGGTGACTCCCCACATCCAGAGGTCCGAGCAATAGAGTCGAGATGGCAACAGCGACGCGGACTTTGTGTTCAAGGTCTGGAGTCAGTAGCCGAAGTCTGAGAGTAAAATGGGCATTAGTCATCAGCTTGATATAGGATAGGTTTAATTTGGTTAGATTAGGATAGGTTAAACTTAGTGTGGTTAAGATAGATTAAGTTAAGTACTCCTGAATATGAAGCTAATTAAGGATCTGGGGTCCAAAAAGTTTTAATTCTATAATCCATTTTGCTAAATAATATTACAGCAAATCTCACCCCATAACTGAACACCACCAGATGATTACTTCCTTCCTATGAACATTGGATTGTGTTTTTGTGATTTTTTTCCATTAGTCTGGACCTACTACACTTGTGAACAGACTGGTCAACACCCCACCACTCACCTGATGTACTCGTCAACACGATTACGGTAAGCTTCCCTCGCCTTGTCGTCATACTGGGAGTCGTAGACCTTGGCGAGGCAGATGGCCGTCGTCATGCGGGTGTTATCTGTGATGTCTATCCGGCTCTCGAACTGAAACTCCTCCAACTCTGAGCAGATATCCAACATCTTCTCGATACCTGTGATAGAGGATGTGATATTTTAGTAAATTTATATACAGTTCCTAAAGATGATTGAATTTGGTCCACATTAGGTGCATCACTTCCTGACATATTGTACTGTTAGCTCATAGTACAGGACATATTTAATTCAATATTGTTTTCCTGTTCATATATTTACTCTATAAAAACAAACACAGCTCTATAAAACTATACTTAGAATCTCACTCCCAATCTTTCACTAAAAATTAAAACATGAACACCTCCTCTGCTTTCTGTTTTGAGACTAATCCTTCCTTTGATGTAAACAATAAAACAGTGTGAAGAAAAGACTAGAGTCAGAAACAAACAAGAATCTATGGTATATATTCCTCTCAGACAACACATTGCTCATGGCATTACCGTACCTCCCATTCTGATGAACTTGTCCGCCCAGTTCAGTTTCTCCCAGTCAACGTTCTTGAGGATGAGCTCTATGACGGCGTCTCGGCACAGCCCGCTCATGGTGCGCTGAGTCACGATGGATACCAAGGTGGCCATCAGACTGTCGATCTCTTTCTGGTTTTCTGTCGAGAGAATAAATACAGTAATGGTTATTTGTGTTTAACCCTTAATCCCTTGTGTACGGCGTCACCTCTCAGATGAATAAAATCATCTGCCGTTAGCCATATAAAATATTACAAGAGGCGTCCCTGTAATGAAGGGGTTAAACGGCAGCTAAGAATTACCAACTCCGCTGTTAAACACTCACTGCCGTGCTCTCATATGGCACATCATGAAGCACCACTGTGTAATAGACTGAAGCATCATGTTTATTGCTGGGTTTTATAACACATCATGACACCTCTTCCTTACACTCTCTATCTTAACAAACTCCTTCTGATTAATGTTACTCTTCTCTTATCTTTTATCCTCATTTATTTACTTTCCTTCCTACTATTCTACTTATATTTTATGTTGTCCTTAACAGACTTTTGTGGAGATAATGTAGAGGCTTTTACCACAACAGACTCATTGTCCTCACTTGTAAGAGACCTCACACGTCAACAAGTGAGGACAATTTTGCCGTTGTACTGTAATAGAAACATTCACACAATCACTACGCATGTCTATACAGTAGTGAGTACGTATACTTATTTTCTCAGACGCCCAGAATAAATCGACACAAGACGTACGAGCAAGAAGTATTTTGTCGGGTTTCCTCTCCAACTTGATGTCCATGCCAGAGAGGGTGTTGAAGATCTTCTGGAAGGTGTACTGAGTGGCATTAACCAACCCTTCGTGTTTATTGTTCATCAGGTCCAATAGCCAGGGGATTCCTATCTCTTGTAGAATGAGTTTTGTCTGTTGAAATACAAGATATACATCAATATACAACTAAAGGTAAACTACACAATAAACATATGTACTGTATACACCTGTAATGTATAAATAGAGAAGAAATACCTTACTCAAAGTATTTTCTCAGGTAAATTTTATCTTTATTCATAATGAGTCTAGTCTGTTTAAATACAAAAGATAAATGAACATAGAAATTGAACTCCAAAAATAAAATAATATATACAGAGAAGACACGGCTTACATTTTTAAAAGTAATTTATCCATAATAATGTGTCCAGGGGTAACTGTTGACTTTACACTGGAGTCCTGACCCAACAGTTAATAACAGTCACTACACTGTCTCACATTCCCAATCAAACAGTTCCTCTAACAGTCACTACACAGTCTCACAGTCCTGGTGCACAAGATATCACTTACCCTATCAAGGTCTTTGCAGAACTCAGACAGTGTCCTCGCACAGGCAATTTTGATCTCGAAATTTTTCTCGGTCTTGAGCATCTGAACCATACGACCCAGAATATTCTGTTTCATCAGCAGCTCAGATCCTGCTCTCTCCCTAGCCAGAGCGACCAGATTGTTGGCACACGTCTCTCTCTTGTCTTTCTCACAGCCCGGGTCAAACAGAATATCAAACAGCTGCTGTACTTTCCCCGACGTTTTAGTCTTCTCTTCAACCTGTAAATATATAATAAAAGTTAATAAAATTCCATTGTAAAGAGAAAAACTATATAAACTTTCACTATATTTCACTGACTGGTTCCTGTGGTATACTGGCCATGATAAACTTGTCCACCTGAATCAGAAAACCATTTTCTACTCTATATTTCTCACCTGATCATAGACTTTTTTTTTACTTTCACACACACACACACACACAGACAGCAAAAAACATCAAAGAAAAAAGTTTTAAAAGAAACCCTAACCTAACCTAACCTGACCTGACTTAACCTACCCTGACCTGTCCTATCCTAACTTAACCTGACCTCACTTAATCTACCCTGACCTAACCTACCCTGACCTATCCTATCCTAAGCTAATGTACCTAAATCTAACCTCCCTGACTAACCCTAATCTATCCTACCCTGACCTAACCTACCCTGACCTAACCACACCGAACAGAAAAATATTATGCCTTTCCCCTATAGCACTAAGTCCTTGACCCCCCGAGCACCTCACACCAACACTCACCAAATCTTGCACTACTTTATGCACTCTTGACAACATCTCCTGAACTTCCTTGTTTTTAGGGTCAACAACTTGGAGTGTTCGGGCATCAGCGTATGCCTTCTCCGCTTGTTCCAGGGCTTCGTATGCCTGGGCTCGACGGAACAGGGCCTTGGGGTCTTTCGGGGAGATTTCTAAGCCTGGAGTTTTGTAAAGTTGAGAATGAGCGATAGGTTATATAACAGCACAATAATCTGGGATATATTGAAAGTTCTGTTTCATGAACTATATGGAGATGAAAGTCTGCTATATTAAGGGTCTATTAGATATAAAACCTCCATCCCATGAACTATATGGAGATGAAAGTCTGCTATATTAAGGATCCATTATAAAATAGCATAGAGCTAAAAATAAATGTGACAACACTCACATTGCGTACAATCCTTCACAACGTTCTCGTAGTCTTCAATCTTGAGGTAAACGGCGGCACGGTTCTTGTAAAACACTGAACGTTCCTTGTCCTCAGTGGTGGCTGTGAGTGCCTGTGTGAAGGAAAGGAACATTACAGTACTCAATAGTGTGAAAGATCTGCCATAGAGATAATTCATCCACTATTCTTTTAAACTTTGTCTTGTTTTAGTGCAGTGAGGACTTAATCAACAGCTAAGGATTCCCTACTTCACCCCAGTATGTGTATAAATGGAGCACAATGAACACAAAACTTCCACACATGATGGCTGACATCCCTACACTAATTTCCACCAATGATGAAGACTAAATACACTTTCTCCCTTCACTTGCTATCATATCAATCATTTTTATTTAGGAAACTCTATTGAAAAAATAAATCAGGTGACTTGGTTATAATAATCACCTGTGAGTATTTGTCTATGGCCTTATCCCAGTCAGCTAATTTATAGGCCTCATTCCCTTCCTCCTTCAGCTGCTGGGGAGTCTTGTCACCTTCACCTTTCGTCATCTTGTAGTACTGGAAAAATAAATAAATAAATGTAGAGTAGTGTACAGTACAGTATATGGATCACTTAAAAAACATCTACCACAACTTACCTCACCTAAAGAGTCACCGCCCTAACACTAACCTAACCTAATACTATCCTAGCCTAACCCAACCTTAACCTAACCTGTGTGTGTGTATTCCGGGTAGGTAATGTAACCCAGGTGGGGCATGGAACTGCCTGCACTACACACAGAGGTGTAAAGGTGAGCGGGCCACCAGTGGTGCTGGCGGTTAATAAGGAACCCGTTCACACCTCCCTCCTCAAGGTGTGGCAGACACATGTGGCCGCGGGAGTTTGACAAATAGATCTAATAATCAAACCCCACAGCCACATAATAATAATTCACCATCATCTGTACCAAAAATTCTGAGAGTTGTTTCTTAGAGAGTATGAAATAAAAGCACATTATTAATGTCTAAGTAACATTCAGGCTCCTTCTCATGTAAACAAGGATTGTGTCGTCCCTGTGTGGGGGCGGCGGCAGTAACTTACCAGAAATCTAAGAAAAAATGAATAAGGAAAGTGTTCTTCCTCCATCAGATTAGTATTATGCTTGAGGTAATGAATAAGTTTTTCTTCTATAGAGATCTTTCATTTGGTAAATGTATAACCCTGACCCTTGTTCTTAACTATTACCAACTTAATACAGACCACAAGCCAGCTATATGTGTTTAAAATCAAGCCAGTTATCTCTTAAGGAACACCTGAAGAATCTCCACCCTATGATATTTCACCTAAGGTAAAGATTAACCTAACCTCATCCCCCCCTATATAGCATTAGGGTGGTTAAACTTCAGGTGAAATAAGCTGGGTTGAGCTGCTTGCCATCTTAGCATCAACAAAACGTGTGGGGGATGGGATACTTAATTCCCAACTCACCTGTATATGTCTTATGGTAATTCCTGCTGTAGTCGTGAGGGATGACCAACACTCAACTGGCAGCAAACGTACCCAAGTATCTCACTCAAACCTTTATCTAGAGACTATATATACCTTCCCTATATTCTACACGACACGAGAAGCTTCTGCAGTGTTCCTGGGTGAGACCTGGCACTATTTTTGGCACTAGTGAGGATGTGTTTGTGAGCGTGTGTGAGTCTGTGTGGTTAACTATAGATGGCTAATCCAAACATTGTTTTATATTGTAAATTATAACTGGAGAGTGATTGATTTACCTGTATTTTAGGGTGATATTTGGTGTTAATTAGGACCTGTCTATTTAGGGTACAGGTCCCAGGGGTCAACACACAGGTAGGGGCACAGGGTAATTGTCATCTGGAGTCAACAATACATACCAGTTCTTTTAAGATTTTGTCATTATCTATAATAAAATTCTAGAACATTTTAACAAACTCAGGTAAAAATATGAATTACCTTGCTATATATATAATAAAATAAAATAAATGATATCAAAGGTTTATTCTATTAACCATATTTTGTGAGGTTTTTATATTATTTTATACCTGAAAGAACAAAAAATCCATACTTAACAAGAACGGATTTAAATGCCCAATTCTCTCTTGTTTGTGTATTATTTCACCTATAACTCGTGCAATACTCACATATATAGTATTTATATATTGTGGGTGCTCAGATATGATGCACTAATACCTCTTTTAACGTCATGGGGATCCGGACCCCATTTTCACCAGAAAATTCTAATACTTTTTCTTTAATACAGTATTGTACAGAGACATTTTTGTATAGTAAAAAGTAATTACTATTGACTTCAGAATATCTATTAATATCAAGTGCACATGGCTTCAAAATGGCCTGTAAATGGCCTCAAAATGCCCATGATATTGGTCAGATTAAAAATAAATAAAGCTGGGTGGGCTCGCTGTGCTCACCATGTTCCTCCCCCCACATCTTCTTGGACCCCCCTTTTGATATTCCCGGATCCGCCCCTGGACAAAACAGGTAAACTAACACTATACACACACACAATACAGGTAAACAATATACACACACAGGTAAACAAACAAACAACCAAGAAAAACCCAAATAAAACCACATAACCAGAATTCTCAACCCACCCACCCACCCACCCACCCACCCACACCCACCATATCCAAGATCCATTAAATTTAACGATAATCATCTCTCTCTTCTCAGTCACAGGTGCTACCCTAGTACACCTTAATGATGATTTAATGGACACTGACCTAGTTAGTTTGGTCAGGTGGGGGGATGTCTTTGTCTGTCTGTTTGTTAGGAGTTAAGAGGTCAATGGTTCAAGGCTATTAGTAGAAGTGAGTGTGTTGGTGGTGTGTTGGTGTGTGTGTTGGTGAGTGTGTTGAAGTGTGTTGGTGTGTGTGTTGGTGTGAGTGTGTGTGTGTGTGTGTGTTGGTGTGTGTGTTGTGTGGTGGGTGTGTTGGTGAGTGTGTTGGTGAGTGTGTTGGTGAGTGTGTTGGTGTGTGGTGGTGTGTTGGTGAGTGTGTTGGTGTTGGTGAGTGTGTTGGTGAGAGGTGTGTTGGTGAGTGTGTTGGTGTGTTGGTGAGTGTGTTGGTGTGTTGGTGAGTGTGTTGGTGGAGTGTGTTGGTGAGTGTGTTGGTGTGTGTGTTGGTGTGTTGGTGTTGGTGAGTGTGTTGGTGTGTGTGTGTGAGTGAGTGTGTTGGTGTGTTGGTGTGTGTTGGTGTGATGGTGTGTGTTGGTGTGCTGGTGAGTGTGTTGGTGTGTGTGCTGGTGGTGTGTTGGTGTGTTGGTGTGTGTGTTGGTGAGAGTGTGTTGGTGTGTTGGTGAGTGTGTTGAGTGTGTGTTGGTGTGTGTGTTGGTGAGTGTGTTGGTGGTGTGTTGGTGAGGTGTGTTGGTGTGTTGGTGGGTGTGTTGGTGTGTGTGTTGGTGTGTTGGTGAGTGTGTTGGTGGTGTGTGTGTTGGTGAGTGTGTTGGTGTGTGTTGGTGGTGTGTGGTGTGTGTGTTGTTGGTGAGTGTGTTGGTGTGTTGGTGGTGTGTGTTGGTGTGTGTGTTGGTGAGTGTGTTGGTGTGTTGGTGAGTGTGTTGGTGGTGTGTTGGTGAGTGGAGTGTGTTGGTGTGTGTGTGTTGGTGTGTTGGTGTGTTGGTGAGTGTGTTGGTGTGTTGGTGTGTGTGTTGTGAGTGTGTTGGTGTGTTGGTGAGTGTGTTGGTGAGTGTGTTGGTGTGTGTGTTGGTGAGTGTGTTGGTGAGTGTGTTGGTGAGTGTGTTGGTGTGTGTGTTGGTGTGTTGGTGAGTGTGTTGGTGTGTTGGTGAGTGTGTTGGTGGTGTGTGTGGTGAGTGTGTTGGTGAGTGTGTTGGTGTGTGAGTGTGTTGGTGGTGTGTTGGTGTGTAGTGTGTTGGTGAGTGTGTTGGTGAGTGTGTTGGTGTGTGTGGTGAGTGTGTGGTGTGGTGTGTGGTGAGTGTGTTGGTGAGTGTGTTGGTGTGTTGGTGAGTGTGTTGGTGTGTGTTGGTGTGTGGGTGAGTGTGTGTTGGTGAGTGTGTTGGTGTGTAGTGTGTTGGTGTGTGTGGTGTGTGTGTGTTGGTGAGTGTGTTGGTGAGTGTGTTGGTGAGTGTGTTGGTGAGTGTGTTGGTGAGTGTGTTGGTGTGTTGGTGAGTGTGTTGGTGTGTTGGTGAGTGTGTTGGTGAGTGTGTTGGTGTGTTGGTGAGTGTGTTGGTGTGTGTGTTGGTGAGTGTGTTGGTGTGTTGGTTTGTTTATTATAATTATTGATATCGTTATTATTATTATTATTAGTAGTAGTAGTAGTAGTAGTAGTAGTAGTAATTGGGTGTGGGTGGATAGGGGTGGATGGGTGTGGTCACCGTACTACAGAATGGATAAAGAATTCAGAGGAGAATGACAAGACTAATCCCGGGCATTAGGAACCTTGAGTACAGAGACATGTTAAAGCATCTTAATTTGTACTCCCTCGAGAGACGTAGAGTGAGGGGCGATATGATAGAGGTGTATAAATGGAAGTCAGGGCTGAACAAAGGGGACATTGCAAAGGTATTCAAACTATCCAACCAGGAGCGAACTAGTAACAATGGTTTTAAATTAGACAAATTTAGATTTAGGCGCGAGATAGGTAAACATTGATTTGGAAATAGAGTAGTGGACGAGTGGAACAAGTTACCAAACATCATCATTAACTCGAATACGCTGGATAGCTTCAAACATAGGTTGGATAGATATATGAGCGATAGGGGTTGGGTGTAAATGGAACTGCCCAGTATGGGTCAATAGGCCCGCTGCAGTTTCCTCCATTCTTATGTCATTATCAGAGAGCAGACAAGTCTAAACCTACCACACTCCACCACCTCTCTCCACCACGGCCTTCAGAAGAGGTAGGTGGATAGATAAGTGGGTAGGTAGGTCGGGGAACCGGCCTAACATTCTCTGGAGGCTTCGTCCTTGTGGAAGCCTCTCGTGTACCCTCCGTTCCATCCTCCCACCCCCCTCCCTCTCCCACCCCCACCCCCTCCCCACACATTGTAAAAAAAATCAAACCCAACTTTTTTACCAAATAACTTACATATGATACTGCAAATTTACATTACATTATATTAAAAAACAAACAAAAACAAATATCAACATTGAAGACCATGATTACTTTCACTTTCACTGTCCAGCTAAAGTACTTTTTTATCATTTCGTCTCTATGGTAAATGTTATGTTTACATTGTGTGTTATCTTATCTCGTAAAATGTTTGTAAATAAAGACACCTGGCAACCCCCCCCCCCCTCAATCAGCTGATCTGTAGTATAGTATCTCCCGTTCACTTGTGTTTACGTCAGTGCCTCTCCAGCCTTGCTCGTGTGAGTGTGTGTGTGTGTCTCGGACTCTCGGCCACAGTGGTTCCTTTCTCTCTCTCATGCCTCTCAACCCCACGCCGTGTGTGTGATGTGTACACGACTGTCTGTCTGTCGGTTCTGAGCAGTGAACGACAGGATTTGCGTTCGCGTTGAAAATCCAAGACATCATTTATCAGAAACCGCATATTTTTTTATATTTGTGAAGGCAATGAAAATTCACGCATGTTTAAAGCCCCGACATATAACTTAACTATTGGGGAAGTGCGTTCGTGTCAACCAATCCGGATTTTTAACTAGAAAAAAAAATCCACCTAGTTAGACCCAAGGAAGGAAATGCGTTCGTGTTGAGATTCATCTTATTCACCTCATTAAAATCCGGTTTATCTTGGCAACAAAAAAAGTGCGTTTGTGTTAAGAAAAAATCCTCAACAACAACAAGCACCTTCCCCTTTCTTTAACCACAACGAGGGGAAATGAGTTCGTGGTGAAAATCCGCATTTCTCATCTATGTGGTGGATAGGCGTTCGCGTTGAGAAGAAATCCGCATCTACTCGCTGTAATCCACTTGAGCGGGAGATGTTGTGTAGGAGGATTACATATACGGTGAAATAAAGTCTTCAGCAACGTCTGGAGAGGGTGAGTAAATATGTACTGTGCGTGTGTGTTCGTGTGTGTGTGTGTGTCTGTGTGTGTAGGTGTACTTGTGTTCATGTGTACTATAGAAAGAGAGATACATGTGAGTTTTCATGTGTGTGTGTGTGTGTGGGTGTTCATATGTGTACATCTGTATGCGTGCGTGTGTATCATATGGGCACGGGGTCAAGGTACATATGAACACTGTGTACATATGTAGGCTAGGTCAAGGTGTACTGGTATATGTGTACTCTCGACCGCGCGCGTGAGTGTGTGTGTGTGTGTGTGTGTGTGTGTGTGTGTGTGTGTGTGTGTGTGTGTGGGGTATATGTGTGTATATCTGTGTGTCTGTGTACAGTTGTATGATCTGTGTCTGTGTGTGTGTGTGTGTGTGTGTGTGTGTGTGTGTGTGTCAGTGTGTCTGTGTATGCATAACTGTACACAACCCAATATATTGTGCCAGTGTATCTAAGTATGTCAACGTGTAGGTATGTGTGTGTGTGTGTATGTACGTGTGCTAGCGTGTACATGTGTGTGTGTGTGTGTAAGCTTCAGGAAGACCAAGACAGCGGCCGAACACTTTCACCTTCACACTGACCAGGCGAGCACCACAACCGGACCCCGCCGACCATAACTGATACCTGGGTTACTGGGCCCTTGTCCTCATGGGCCCCTAGTTCTAATGGGCCCCTTGGTCTAATGGGTCCAATAACATCTATCAACTCAATCCCCAAGCTTAACCTAACCTAACCTAATTTAACCTAACCTAACCTGAACCTAACCTAACCTAATTTAACCTAACCTAACCCAACCTAACCTAACCTAACCTAATTTAACCTAACCTAACCCAACCTGGATCTAACATAATGACATAATCCCACCAACAGACAGACACTGACGATCTCTACCACACACTTCCTCGGGTCAAGAGAATGCGGGGCTAATCCCTTTACAACATAGGACTAGACAGAAGGGATTTATTGCCTATAGAGAATCGGATTACTTGTGTATGTAGGATTAACAGAAAGAGGAGATTGGAAGGGTAGGTAGCAATTTCCTGTGCCGAAAGGATTAGAGATGATTGGGGATTCGTGTGTGTGTGTGTGTGTGTGTGTGTGTGTGTGTGTGTGTGTGTGTGTGTGTGTATGTGTGTGTGTGTGTGTGTGTGTGTGTGTGTGTGTGTGTGTGTGTGTGTGTGTGTGTGTGTGTGTGTGTTAATCTTATACTGATTCGTTGATATGTAAAAAAAAAAGAATTGGACAGTCGGGATTATCTACTGTGGTAAGAGGAGATTAGGAACGGATTAGAAAGAAACTGTGTACTAATCCTTCCTCGAATCACAAACTCACAAAGGATTAGTCCCAGTCGCAGGTGATTGGAGATTTCCCGAATACCACCTAATCTTTACCTACAGTCAGTGACCTCATTATGTATTCACCTAAGGTACCTAAACTGGAACACGATTTAAACTGGTTTTTGACAGGAAATTCGATAGTTTTTCATTCCTAATTGGATTTTTTTTATTAATTGGGAATTTTTTTTCATCATAATTGGAAGGTTTTGTAGAGATTAATAAATTAACTCGTAATAATAATAATAATAATAATAATAATAATAATAATAATAATAATAATAATAATGGTACTACTACTACTACTACTAATACTAATAATAATAATAACAACAACAATAATCTAGACTAAGTTGTAGATGTATTAATAAACCAAAATAAAACAACATCAATAAACCCGACCATCAAAAATATCAATAAATCCGTCTTCCCGTCTCACGAACCCGACGACAATAACAATAAATCCGTCTAGCTGTCTCACGAACACCAGGAAGTACCTCTGACAGGAAGTGTATCGTTATTACCATTCAGATGAACTTACGTAAGATAATTAATCCTTTCAATAATTATTTCACGCAAGAGTAGAGTGTGAGTTAATTTGTTGCGTATCACTGCTCTAAATTATATGGGAGGTGATTACTACTACTACTACTACTACCAAACCTATAACTACTACTAATCTACTATCACTACCACGAACACTCTTATACCACCATACTTCTACTATCACCACTACTATCACCATTCCCCTTCCTACCACCACCACACCGGCCACAACTATCACCATTCCTACCACAACTATCACAATTCCTACCACAACTATCACCATTTCTCCTCTTACCACCACCACCACCACCACACTTACCACAACTATTACCATTCCTCCAACCACCACCACCATTCCTACCACAACTACCACCATTCCTCCAAAGCCGTACATACAGACAGTTCCGTTAGGTTACGTAATGACCAATGGCGTGAGGTTGTGTACAGCGAAACAGAGCAAAACGATAACCTGGTGGTGGTGGTGCATGGTGGTGCATGGTGGTGATATTGAGGGAGAAATGATGGTGATATTAACGGATAGTGATGGTGAGGTGATAGTGGCTGTGGTGTGAATCAGTGATGGTGAGAGATGACTGGACAAACGTGTGGTGATGGTCAAATAGTCTGGTTAAATAGCCTGGTCAAAAAATACCTGGTCAAATCGCCTGGTTAAATTATCTAGCTTGCATTCTTGTACATATTGACCCTCCCAGGCCATTGTTCCCTGGAGAATATAAACAACTCAATTGTACCGTCCAGAACTACACGGATCAGCTGTTCCTTTGTTATTGTTTTGGTCAGTCAGCTGATTACTGTTTGGGTTCTTTGTCTAAGTGTTATAATACCTTCAATGTGTGAAACTAGACAGGTGTGGCACTAGACAGGTGTGGCACTAGACAGGTGTGGCACTAGACAGGTGTGGAACTTGATAGGTGTGGCATTAGACAGGTGTGGAACTAGACAGGTGTGATACTTAACAGCTGTGGCATTCGACAGGTGAGACACTTAACCCCTATGGCACTCGACAGGTAAGGGAGGCACTTGACAGGTGTAGCACTAAGAGGTATGAGAGTGTGTGAACCCTGGTTCCTTGTGACACAACTCAAGTTACAACACATCAGTCCTTACCAAAACTGCACGTGTCTCTCTCGTTCAAAACACAAGTTCTATCAAGAGTATTAATTTACTCCACGTCTCACCTGACACAAACACACACACACACACACACACACACGCACACACACACACACGCACGCACACAACAGGTAGCAACAGGGAACAATATACACACCTTTTCACACCTGTTACATGGGAGAGTGTCCTCAGTAGCCTTGAGATTCCTTGGTCACGGTAGAGGTGTGAAAAAAACAAAAACATGTTGTAACGTATTGGTGTTAACTTTCCAGAGTGTGTGTGTGTGTGTGTGTGTGTGTGTGTGTGTGTGTGTGTGTGTGTGTGTGTGTGTGTGTGTGTGTGTCCTTAAAGCAAGCAGTGTTAAAAGTTGTCAATGAATATAAGAGTTTAAATGATGATAATGATAATAGTGATAATTTTTAGTTTTTAGTAATATAATAATAATAATAATAATAAACAGTAAAATGAGAGAGAGAGAGAGAGAGAGAGAGAGAGAGAGAGAGAGAGAGAGAGAGAGAGGAGCAGGAAGAAGAACGAGAGAACTTTCAACCTCACAGCCAGTATACAAGTAGGTCGGGCCATGATAGCATATAGTCATCCTTACTCCACACACACACACACACACAGACGTAATCTTTAATCCATATTTATCAGTGAATTATTTTCAAAATACTTTAATTAACACCTACGCCAGACGGAAGAATCAACTTGTCGTGTTTTTGCCATCACTGCCGCTTGTTCTGGTATATGCAGGAGGAAGATTTTTGAGACCCTAGATGCGTGTTATTATTATTATTATATGTAGAATGATCATGTGATGCGTTATTCTTTTGTGTTTTGTTATCTTTAAGTTCTTATTATTTTTACGTTTCTGAGTTTTTGTGTTTTGTTTCAATATTTTTTTTACGTACACGATCTACTTTTTGCTGAATTTTTTCACTGCGATTTTTTTTTATTCCCGAGTTATGTAAGTTAACGAGTTTTTTTCCCCAAACCTTTCAGTGGTCTTGTTCAGTGTCCAGAAGTTGCGTTAATTTCGTTCACTTTAATTTGTTATATTTTCCTGTGCTTTCTGTCTCTCTTTTTTATTTCTATCTCTCCCTATCCTCTCTTCTCTCACTCTCTGTCTCTCTTCCTTTTCGTCTCTCTCTCTCTCTCTCACACACAACCTACTTACAACACAATAACTTACAAAAACAAGAATCATCTCACCTGGCCATTTCACCTTAGTCATATAAGGAGGAACGGACGGACGGACGGACGCATCGAAGCAGAACGGATAATAGACAGCGAAAACAATAATAAAACGTATACTAAACACCGAAAATTAGAACAAGGATGTACTAAATAACGGAAACATAAAACCATGGAATACTTGACAGAGAATACAACAATAAACAGCAAAAACAACAATAACAAGGAAGTACTAAATAACAAAAAAAAACCATGGAATACTAGACAGCGCAAACAATAATAACGTCACACTAAACAGCGAAAACAACAATAAAGTCACACTAAAGAGCGAAAACAACAATAGCGTCACACTAAAGAGCGAAAACAACAATAGCGTCACACTAAAGAGCGAAAACAACAATAGCGTCACACTAAACAGCGAAAACAACAATAGCGTCACACTAAACAGCGAAAACAACAATAGCGTCACACTAAACAGCTCAAAACAACAAGAACGTTACACGAAATGGTCAGGAAACACAGACAAACAAAGACACTCGTCATGAAAGTAAGAATGACCCAATTACAGTTATCTACCATCAGAGAGAGAAAGAGATAGAGAGAGAGAGGAAGATAGAGAGAGAGAGGAAGATAGAGAGAAAGATAGAGAGATAGAGAGAGGAAGAGAGAGCTGTGTTGTGCGTAAAGTGAATTGTAAGTGGCGAGGAACAGCCCCTATTGTTATTATTTCTCGCCCCATGCAGCCCCCTTCTCATCCCATCAGCCCTTCTGTCCGTCC